AAGCAGTTGAGACATTATTTGTCGTCGTTTTGGCGTCAAAATGATGACAAATAACGTCAGTTTTACACTTGGAATATTCATACATGCAAAAAAGCTAATTGAAATAAACATAAAACTGAGAGAATTGTAACTCTTGAAGTATTTCATGTAATATAATAATAAAATATTGTTCTATTATTATGACATGAAATATTTTCATTTGTGACAGCGATATTATTACAACAAGTTCTATATTTTTATTTGATTATTAAAGCATTGTGAGAATACCATTTCTGAACTGGTTTTTCTGTTCATTAAATATCTTGAACTTTTTAACGAGAAATTGTTAGTGGTCCAATTTTGTTAGTATTCCAATTTCGTTATTTTTCTAGTGTAAAGGTATTAAATAAACTAAATTATTTACTATATACAGTAGAGAATAAAAAGAATTGAAGAGAGCTCAATACAAAAACTGGTCAGCTTCACTTTTTAAATTTATTATTGTATAAATAAAAAAACTATTCTGCCAATGTGTTATGTCAAACATTTTACGAAAACGCTGAAATATAATTATTGATTCTGTTTAGGATTGTCGGAGCTGTGCATTTCTTATACTAAAAGACGCGGAATGTTTGATACGTTAAATTTATGAAAAGTCATTTTCGCCAATAGATTTGATTGTAAGATAAAATTTTCATAATATAGATTCACATATTTAAATAAATTCATGTAGATTCTTGTATCTATATATTTGTTTCATCTGAACTACATTAAATTTTTAAAAAGTTAATGTATATTGTTATATTGGGATCGCATGTACTTAATACTGAAAATAAAATAGAATTCCATTTTTAATCACCGTCTCTCTTACACAGTAAAAAAATTTGTGTATTTGGAAACGGTCCACTCACGTTTGTGTTAACAGTTTGTGTTGAATTTTTTAACATATTCGAGTGTTAATTTAACATAATGTGATTATGTTTTTTAAAAATTTTTTGTGGAATTGATATTCAATGTTTCTTAGTGTCAAAATGACACAATTTATGAGTAAGTGAACAAGTAACATAAAAATAATATGTTTTAAAACGTAAATTCTAAGACAAATGAATGAAATATGTGTTAATTTAACATATCATAAATGTTAATTTTCTGAAAAAAAATATGTTCCCACGGTATGTTTACAAACTGTGTCGATGTTATCTTTTTTTGTATTTATTCTCTTACATAATATTTGTGTGTTACTTTCTAACATATTCATCTTGTAAAATTAACTCAAAAATTTGAGTGGACCGTTTGGGACATGCGATTTATATTATTTAACATATTTTTTCCAACTGTGTATTAATGGAAATGTTCAGATATTGTGGAATTAGTGCACAAATTTTCAGTTAGCGGTTTAACTCCCGAATGGAAATATCCGGGCACTTCTTTTATATAGACTATGTACGATGTGGAATAATGAATCGTAATTTACCTGGTCCCTCGCAATATCTGTGCGTGGAACGTGATTGAACCGTTAATTAGTCTTGAATTAAACGGCTCGATGCTGCCCGCTTGTAATTTTACAATTTTACATTGCAATTTCTCGGGCAATACACATCCTTCGTGCACCTCTCACTTGCTTGTTCACTCGTTTGTTTACTCATCCATTGTGAAAATTGCTGCTATTTTTTACTTCGTTAGATATTCGAGCGGATGGAGAGGAGTGACGAAAGAAATTAATTATTTATATTTTCCAAGTTTCACCCGTAAAAAGTAATTAAAGGCCCAGTTGTTTATCGGGCTCGAGTAGCATCGAATTAAACCGTCTGATTTAAAGTATTTGTAATTTTCCCTACTAATTATATTGTAGCATTTTAAATAGCATTGTGTGTTTATAAATAGTTGTAAAACATTACTTTTGCTTGTACAGAGACATTATGTTTTAAACAGTTACTTAATAGTCTGATAACATTGTACTTATAAAAAATATACTGCAACATTCGGATACATATACAGATAATTCGTATTTATTATATACTTCAATCTGATTTTCCAATGTTTTGTTAGTAGTTTGTATCGCTGAATATATGTAAGAAATTTATTAATTGCCATTTGTCAAGAAACGAGCAATATTTTCGATATTATTTTCTCACTTTCGGTGTTTGTAGTTCTTTCGTATTTATTGACACGCTAACATGGCATACCTACAACAACTATAAAAGTACAGTTACAATTTCGATGGATACATTTGCAAAATGCGACAATTTCAAAGCGATTTTGCGTTCATGCACTGTTTTACATTTTTAAACTGTTTGTAATTCCCAAGTAACCATATGATAATAGTAGACCATACTCTGTGAAACGTACCCCTCGATAATTTACTTAAATTGGTATTGAAGAACTTTCATTACTTTTGGGATAGTTTTTTATTAGAATGCCGTTGAGATTTGCAAGTTTTAATACGTTAGATATTTTACTACTAGTACTCCTCGTAACATCTTCGAAACCAGCAATAGTATACGAGAAAAGACTTTATTCAAATGAACTCTTTTTCCTGTGAAAATGTCTTTTGTTATTTCTCAAGAAACCTTATTTTCTCTTCTCTAAGAAAAACAAACAGTGAAACGTATACGTTTTGTATACTGTAGATCTATTGCTTTGGGATAGATAGGTACATTACTTTCTTTAAAATGCAACTTGTCGATCGAAGAGCGTGTTCTTATGTCAAAGTTAATGGAATCGCACGACGTGATATATCACGATGTATCGCAATATGAACGCACTAGTCACGATATAACAAGGATAATAACAGCGGCGGCTACGCGGCAAGTATCCGGAAATAAACTTGTTGCACGACCGATCGGTAAATAAAATAATAACTGGGGCACGTAACTCGATTAAACGACAATCGCGATATTTGCACCGGTGCACAGTGTCATTCTGCCGTGTCACAATCGACGAGGCCTGTCGCGCGCGCATCAAAAACTCGGACAAGAAGCATGCCGTTATCACCGGCGGATATAACCGTGCGCTAGGACCGTCGATATTTTTGTCCTCCCAAATTTTTGTCGGTCGAATTATCCGCGACGGAAGCAATTGCTTCGCCGGATGAAATATTTTCATCTCCCTCTCGCTCTCCCCCTTCTCTCCCCCCGCCCCTTTTTCTCTTTTTGTCACTCACTCACTCACTCACTCACTCACTTATTGTTAGTCACTCACTCGCTCGCTCACTCATTTACTCACTTATTCCCCCCCCCCCCTCTCTCTCTCTCTCTCTCTCTCTCTCTCTCTTTTATATTCCTGTGGGGGAACGGATGCAAACAAATATTTCGTGAAAAGGTGGAAGAGACAACTCTTTCTCCGGATGCGCAGAATATTTGAAAAAAAAAAAAAAAAGAAATAGGGGAGAAGGAAACAGCAGCGTGATTACGTTGGATGTACACTGTTCGCTATCGAGAGAGTTTGAGCGACAGGAGCAACTACCATTGGAATTGCATGCGTATCGTTACAGGTGAGAAAGGAAAATCTGCAGAATAGAATTCGAGAGGGAGAGTTGTAAGAGCGTTACACGAAATGGGTAACGCGAGCTCGCATGTTACATTTGCAAGGGTTGCAATTTTCCGAAATCGTGGTGTCAAACGTTACGCTACTCGCGAGAAAATTCTAAATTAGGAAGCAAATGGTATTTTATTCTTGAATTAAATAAATTTTAGTTTTAAATTTGAGTAGGTATCCAGTCGAATGTTAACACGCTTATCAAACGGTTAATACAATAATTGTCTTTCGCAAACGAGAATCATTTCAGTCTTACACTGAAAGTGCAATATTTATATTTTACAAGATCAAAAAAAAAGTTCAATTTTTGTGAAGGGAATTTCTGTAAAATTCAAGTGAATCCAAATCCTGATTCCTCGAAATCAACCTTTTCTTTAAGTTACAAAATTTTATTTCTTTATTTTACGTTAAATTAAAGAAAGTAATGTACCTATTTCGTGGTCAATCTAATTCCGATTTCAAATACACTTAAAGCCAAGTTGCACAGTTTGGATTATCCAAAATCTAGATTACTTCCAAGTTAGGGATTTGTTGTCTTCCTTTAATCTACACTTCTCCGCTCAATATATATAGAGAAGCAAAATGTGATAAGAGCAGATCACTTTATTGATATTTTTTAACAAATCTCGAAGAAAAAGATATTGTTTATTTTTTTTATATTATATTCATCAATATGTTACATTATATAAACACAATATATATTTATTTGCCATATATTTAAAAACTGTGTTGTATCCGTAATATTTTTTTATGTAATACTTTCTTGATCATTTATATTCTGTATCATCTGTACTTAAGGGGATCCTAAAGCCGTCTGTATGACCGATCAGATCATATAATTTTTGTATAACAAATATTTTTTTCTCTTTCAGAGATTCGAAAATTCTTTTCCAGAATTAAAGTATACGTATTAATACGTGTTTGTGAGGTGGAGTTTATGCCGAGAACGACCAAAAATTTGGAAATTAGTATATTTTTTACCATTTCTTAGTGGCGTCTCAAGCTGTCAAGTCGTGACAACATTTGCTTGACACGAAAGTTTTGCAACCTGTACTTACGAAATGGTAATCCACAAACACGTAGTTTACATGAACAAATAACGAGTCGAGTTCTTAGAATTAGACTTAGACGCTTTATCGCAACGAATTTGTTATACGAAAATTGAACGTGCGACTGCGTGTATCATAGGTTGCGTGAGATATTGGTGTGGTAATATATAAAGATATGTCGATGCGCTGGGAAAACAGCGACCTCTGGTGACTTCATTGGAGTTTGAGCTTCGCTTTAGGATCCCCTTAAAATAAAAATTAAATTTATTAAGGAATGCCAATTCGCGTACTTATATTCTGAGTTTTCTCTACAAAAGGGTAGGTGATGTAGAGTATAGTCTCTGAAGTAAGAAATAAAAAAAGGGGAAGTTGGCGCATGTAAGCACGGCTCTTGATTTATTAATGATTTTAATGTAGTGTGGTTTGTGTTTGAAGGTGACGAGGAAAAATCCGTGAACGAATGAGAAGAATTCGTGGAAGGAAAGTTCGACGATGAGGGTTTGAGTCGAGGAAAGTGCTTCCAAGAGTGCCTGGATCCTGGTTCGCGCTTTTCGTCGACGAGGGACAGAAGACGACGGGTGTTGTAAAAAGGAAACGAAGAGCGGGGCAAGTGTGTCGTTGACACGAGTTGACGCGACGCGACGTGACGTGACGTGACGTGACGTGACGTCGGAGCGTCGAGATGCTTCGAGATGAGATGGCCACCCCCCTTGGATCCCTCGCGTCGCTGCTCACGCTTGTACTTTATGCTTGTAGCACCTGCCATGCCAGGATAACTAATCAAGAAATCGGTGAGTGCTCGTTTAAATAATCTATAGCTAATTGAGCATAGTACACCAAGAATATTTAATGATCGTTAAAGTGTTGGAGAAACATTTCACATCTTGCAAAAAGACCGAAATATCATATAAGTTAGAATATGAGAAAAAAATTAAAATTATATCTTATTGTTAGAACAGAATATAATTGAATATTTAAAAAAATTTATATACATTTGATTAGTAAGGACGAAATAAAAACATGTAATGCGAAATTAAACATTTCAATTGATATTCATGATATGTCTTGGAAAGTGAAATGTTAACTGAAACATAGATTTATTTTATATTGATGTGTATTAGATGGACAAAAACATGAATTAATAGTTAACAATAACAATAATAGAAATAAATGAACTTAATTGATATTGCTATATTTTGGGACCTTTGTGACAATTAATAAATAATACTAACTCTACTAAGAGTCAAGCTAAGCTGTCTGTTGATATATTTCGTTCCGAATAATTGTATTCCAACATTTTTGAGACCAATAAATATTCAACAAGTGCTTTGATTGATTATTCCCGAGGAAAGCAGAGAACTTATGACTTTCAATTAATATTGATATATACGGTATAAGAAAGAGTTAACGCACGAACTTATTCGCAACAGAATATAGTTTTTGGTAAAAGCTCGGCGTATGATTTGGAAAACAGATGGATATCGCACGTTCATGGAACACACTTTTTCCAATACGTGCGGTAATATAAATATGATCGGTTGTTACATCATATCGACGCAGCCAGATACGAGATTGAATTTGTGGTACGACTATATGCGTTTCCGAAGAGTTAAATAACGGAATGTGCCGTCTATGTTTTATTGATTGACATTTTACGTGAGATTTATACAGTGTTATAAAATTCATCAAACGCGATTGAAATCATGATTCTGACACAATATTAATATATTTATTAAAATTTAGATTTATGGTGAATCAATAATCGCGTATATACATCCTTCAACATATAAAATTACGTAAAAAATAAATCGATATCGTTGCGGAACTTATATCGTGAGATAGAATCTTGAGGATACAAGTTTACTACATATTGTATACTTTTGAAGGAGTAAACATCGATCGTTGAATACGTGATCGCTTTAATACAACAATTGAGTTTCGCTGTGTATCGTGTGTATTGAGTAAATCTATCAGTCTTGTTAATAGATAGTACTGATAGAGAATTATTATTCCATTGGTTGTTACACGTAGTTCGAAAACAGTGTTATAGAACTTAATCTGTCTATCGTTTCCGACATTTGTACTACTACTCTCTCGATAGTATATTATACTAATTGGCAATTTAAATATTTACGAACGTATGATGAGATACGAATTTTAGATGATTAACCACATATTTTCTTTCATATTTTTAACAACAAATAGTTAAGAAATATAAATATAGATTTAATTAAGTATACCAAAGTCATTCGAATAAAACGATTTATGTTGAGCTTTATAGTTCTAAAAATTTAAAAAATTATAGGTACTCGACTTTATTAATAAAGTCGAGTCATATTTAAATGACTAAATTTAGTCATTTAAATATGACTAAAATTATTTGATTACTATTCTGATTTTATTCCGAGTTGTTTTTTTGCTATTTTTGTTGTTGCGAGAATTATTTATGACGATCTGTGATAAATATTTCCTATCGGTGAATATTTAAACGTAAACATTAATACATATTTCATTCTATGTCTCTCTCTCTCAGAAATTGTTTTTATCTTAAAATAATAGGATTATATCACGTCGGGCAACGAAACCTTATATCACTTTTTTATCTCTAATGGGTTTTATTCCATACGGCTATGAAAATTGAAACGAAATGAAATTTAGAAGTGTACTAAGGGAGGATCGTGAAAAGAGATAATTAAAAAATATCTACGTACACATATTTCGTAATAATTCCTTTCTTTACATGGATGAGTAAGAAGGCACGTGCGCAAGCTCTTTGCGAGTCGGACATTATTCCAATTTTCGCGAGGTAACGTCGCTTTGTGTACAAGCGGACAAAGCGACGTATACTTTTGTTGGTAACGCGGCAATTGAATCACCCGGTGACAAAAGCCACCGGGTATTCCGGCCGCGTAATTTCGTCCCTCGGGCGTGAAAATGAGGGGTTTTTAACCCATTTTACACACCGCGGCTTTAACGAGATCGCCATGTCGCCGTTATTTCGTGGACCATCAAGGCCGGGTGCCACGCTGCATGCGAAAAGAAAATGCGCGACGGACTGCTCCATTCCCCTCTTCCAGTGAAATTACCTCTAGTGATCGTCGCTCCTCGAGTTATACTCTCGTATTTCTTACTATAAATCACTGTCGAAATTGATATTGTTATAAATAAACAAATATTTGTTTATCATAGATAGTTTGTACAGTTTGTACTTTGATATAATCGAGGAAAAATTTATTATTTATAACTTATTTTTGATTGCTCTTTTAATTGATATGAACGATGTGAATATGCTTTCTACAAAATTAGTTATCTTAAGATTTGTAATAGTAATAATTTTGAATCCTTTTATTAAAAATCTTTATTAATTATAATATTTTACAAATTTAAACATGACATGAAATTGTATAAAAGTGACTTTAAAGTTTTATAATACCTATATTGTTACATATAATTAATGTAGGTATATACTTATCTTAATTTGATATTTTAGTATTTTATTTAGTAATTTCCAACAATAAAATTACTAATTTTACAAATTGATGCTATTTTAACCGTTAAATCGCTTCAAATCTTCACAAGTTAATTTCTCAGGCAACCTCGCGTTTAAAGCTCAACATGATTGCAATGTCAGCAAGCGACTTGGACATAGTCAGATTCGTTTCGCGTTTAAATATTTACCGTCCAATCGGGAATCTCTATTAGAGACCCGTAGTAGTAATCCTCGCAACAACAACAAAAACAGCAATAACAAGAAAATAACCTAGACGAAATGGCAGTTTATAGTCAAGTAATTTATTCATACTTGGCCGATTTTAAACAACACCAAGTGTGTGTTATTTAATGTTGAGCGCGAAACGGAAGTAATTACGGTTACTCGAAGCGTAAAGTAAGAGAACATCGTGAGGGTTTGCAAAGCTCCGACAGCTAATTAAACGAGTAAGCCACTTGGCTCCAAACATTTCGATAATTGAAGGATTATTGAAAAGCGCGGAAAGTCTGGTTTTTCTTGTAGATATATGGGATAAGAAATATGACTTTTGTACCGATTTTTATAAATCTAAAACATTCTATCAACTTTACATATTTATTATTAATATTGAAGAAAAGCATTGAAATTAGAAAATTTTATAATCTTTTACTGTTAAATCTATAGTGTCAAATTTAACCTAATGTGAGTCGCCACTGTTAAATATATTGTTATTTTATACTAAAACGATAATTAAATTTGACACTATACAGTGTTTCAGTATAATCATTATTTCAGTATAAAATAACAATATAATTGAGTAGGAGCAGTGGCGACTCACATTAGGTTAAATTTGACACTATAGATTTAACAGTGTTGTGTCACTTTAATTCCGATCTTTAATTGCAAGGGTTCGTAAAAAAATTGCAAAGTATCATGCTACAGCTCTCATCGCGAAATGATTTATTCATACGTTTCTAAAACTACACAAAGTCTTTTCGCATTTCATCAAAGTTTCCTCTTTTGTTACGAATGCGTATTACCTCAGTTTAGAGCATTCTGGTTTGTAAATTACTTGACACTGCCGAATATGTTGGTAGCAAAGCGCATTTCTGTGATAGTAATCTTTTAATTATGGGACAAAAGCTTATAGAAAACAATTTATAATGCAAATTTATAAAAGTAGATTGATAGAAAGGGTATTTAGTTGATGAAATTTTGTAATCATCGCCAAACATAGTCTTCGAAAATGAAACTTTAATATTAATCTAAATATTTCAAATTGAATTCCGAAATACTGTAAAATATTGATTGTATTTATTGTGTTCTTGCGTGATATTATTTACAACTTGTGGATATTTTATAATTTTTCCTGAAATATTTTTATGTATTTTCAAGTTCAAAAACTTAACGCTCATGAAATTTAAATTAATTGTATCATTAATAATTATAGTAGATACTACCAATGAAGATTAATAATTGTTGATACATAAAATTTTAACAATATTAATATTATTTTTCCAAACTTTAAAATAATTTAATATTTTACCTTTGATTGTTTCAATGTTTATTTATTTATAACAAAATTAAAATATTTTAAAGATATCTAATACATGTTCAAGTTTAAAATTCAAAATTTACATTTTAATAAATTATAGGACATTTTTTGATACTCTCTTTTGTTTTAAATATTTATATTAAAACTCACAACTTGAGAAAAAATATAACAAAAGAAACGTGAAAAATTGACTCTCATGTAATCTCGATAAGGACATTGTTATTTGCCAATCTGACTTTTTGTCACGATCTCGCCACCTGAAGGTTGAATTTGTCGACATTCAGTGCTCGCGCAGTTTTTCCGCATTTTCCTCGTGAAACGCGCGTCAAGATGCATTAGACGTCGCTACGTCGGATTCTTCGGGAAAGTTTTCGAGCGAGGCGTTTCCGTGGGGAATGCGAGGACGCGTCAACCAAATGAGATACGTCGTACCCGCGTTTTTCTTTTTAAATTGAGGCAGCTGAGTTAATTTGTATACCGGCATCACGGCACTTTTAATACATATTTCATGAACCGGAAGAATAGCCCAGTGGTGGTACGAACGGATTATTTCGAATAGAATTCAAGCAAAGGATTTCTTGATGAGAAATAAATAAATATAGCTGAAATAACGTAAAGAAACTCTTTATTTTCAGATTTTAGAAATTTCAAGTCAAAATTTTAAAAGCGAATTTAAAAATAAATGGACATTTTTAAAGAATTACAATTTTAAATTTGTAATATCATAAACAATGTCATTAGACTTAGGAGATTAAAATAAAAAATTA